TTGATTAGTAAATTACTCTACAATTGCCCATCACTAAACCGACTATGGTCGGGTCAATGCACTCAATGTTTACCTTTACTCTCAATTCATTTGAAACAGGGTATACAAATACAGTATCAACGATACTGTATTTGTAGATTAAAACCTAGAAAGATCATTGGAACACGCTACGGAAACACTCTAGTATTTGAGCCGACCATAGAAGATCATCCTAATCATCCATTTTATTCAGAACCTAAATATCAAACTTACGTACTGGGTATGGAGGTCTTATTTAATTGGACGTCAAGAGGCCCACGGCGTTTGACACAAAAAACACAGATTAAAAATGAAATATGTCTAACAATTTAATAGAGAATCTGCAACTCTTGGAATGAAATATGTAAATTATTTAAAATGCATAATGAATTGACGTGTTAAATATATTGTTATAAAAAGATTTTTTACCAATTTTGATACCATAATCACGATGCAGAAAGGATGATTGTCCGATTCGACATAAAAAAAATTAGACCGTTAATTTTCTTTTCTACAATTCCGAGTTTTTCTTTTCGCTTTGCGAGGGAAAGATTTACTATTTCTAATAAAACTTTTTGTATTTGTTGCAGAAGCAATCAGCGACCAGCTTGTTGGCGTGGGACTTCTGCAATTTCAACTTATTGGTTTGTACTACTTTGTTTTGTTTCTTTTTGTGTTTTCAGAGATATGTCTCGTGTTCACAGGTGCCTCCTCGACGGCTGTTCATCTACATCGGAGACAGCAAACCTGTGCCGGTGGCCTCGCAGCGTAGATCTGGAACGAGTATGGATAGACCTCCTAAGGTCTCACAGCTCAATAGTAACATCGTCGTTTACGCACCGGAACCGCATTCATAGGCATGCCTGTGTGAGTTATTTAACACAGCAAATATCTTTCTAATTTGTGCAAAAGCGACCTCGGTGGCTGAACGATTACCTGTATGCCCAAAGATTATTATAATCAACGAATGCATTAATACGGCATTTCTCAATGGAGATCGTAATGAATGCATTTGCATTGAACAACCTTTTTTTTTTTTACTGAATTTTAGACTGAGACTTCGGCTTTTGCATTGTAAATTGGTACAGTCACAAACAACAACAATGTGGCTTGTTCTAGCACTGAAGCTGAATACTATGCTCTTGAAAGTTCTGCAAAAGAGGCAAAGTTAAAAAAAATGTTTTTACAAATACAGCAGCCTGTCACCACCAGAACCTATAACGATTTTTAATGATAATCGTAGCAGACTCAAACTGGTAGAGAATGAATGTTTTAGAATAACCAAACAACGTACCTTAGCCTTCAACATACTTTAAGACAAGTATTTGTATCATTGCCAAATAATCGAGTTTCAAACAACTAATCTCTATTTCAAGACTCCTAGTATTCTCGGTGATTCTAAGCAAGTAACACATAAGTGCCTCATAAAACTCAGTGATTTCAAGGATTTAGTGACACTTTATCTATGTACTTTTCCGCATTTAATATGTAATAATTTTGTTGGTGTATCGAATTTTGCACAAACGATTTTTATCATTACTACTGTGAGTTCGATAGCTTAAAAAAACTGATCGTCATGTTTACTTCACTACAAATCTTTTGATATATAATTATATATTTTCTTGTTGTTTCTAATGTTGGGAGAAGCGAAGAGAACGATAAATCTGAAAAAGACGCCACTAGAATTTAAGTTGCAAATTAAAGTAAAAATTAATTAGACTTTCATGTTTAGTCGGTAGATGTATTACTACTATAAACGAATGATGTTGGGTTTTGACTTATGTGCTCTAATCCGCCGAGCGACCTTTTGTTTAATAATTGTGTTTTGTTATCATTCATTAATTGTTAGATTCAAAAGACGTGTTGCTGGGAGTTTCTTTCGCTGTTTCTTCGCCCATGTGTTAACACCTTTACGAAACGGTAGTAGCTTTCGTTATTGATAAAAAGATATAACTGAAAATACAGTATTTTATTTTAAACCACAAAACATTAGCAATATGAAAAAGTAACTAGGACCGATGAAACCGTAATTTTTACCGTAAAAGTGCGATACAGGACATCACTAATAGTAACCGATCCATTAAAGGTTTGAGGCGCGTCACTATTCGGTACACTAGCGCCACCAGCGTGCTGTCACGGGAGACGGAACTACCTCTACGAACGTTCCGTTATAGGGCCTGTTTCCTATCTGTTCCTAATATATCTTTCTAATTTATGGTACCCAACCAAAGTTCCACAACAACAACTGCAACGACAATAATAATTATCCTGAAATCTCAAGAAGCAAGAAAATATTTATTTGGAAGAATTATCAAAAATTTGCAATTCAGTGGAAATTGCATATGGCCAAAGGCTGGACGCCATAATGCCAAAATATAAGAAAAAAAAAGTCTAAGGTACCATTCCAGAATCTAAATTAATATCTCTAAAACTATTTATTTTCTAAATTTGAAACTTGATAGAGGGGCTTCTCTCCCCTACCCCTCATTTCCACATTATTCATTCCGCTCTTCCTGCATTTGGTGCGAAAATATATGATTTGAGGTTATTTTTTTCGAATTTTCCAAAAATAATATGTCGAAAACTATTAACATTCTAACTTTCAAACTTTGCGGGGAGGGTCCCGTACCCCCATCCTCCCTCTGACGGTAGTTATCCTAAGCTCATATTGTAAAGAGCAATTATTAATTAACTTGTCAACTTTTTTGGACTGCTCACGTTAATTTACATTCTTTTGATTACCTAAAAGCACAGAGTTTTAGATTAACAACAGATAACATACAACAAGTTACGACCGATTTTCAGGACGACATTCCAATGCTATTAAATAGGTAGATTTATAACAGATATTTTTTTAAATAGGATTGTATAATGAGTGTTGTATACCAACGACTCGTTAAACGTAGCGTTAATTACCGTTAACAAATAAGTTAATTAATTAATTAAAATTTTAAAACAGCATTAGCGAGCAGCGAATTTATATAAATATCATATAGTGAAATATTTACTTACCAATGTTTTCGGAAATTTCTGCAGGCACACCACTTGCTATCTCGTTTTCCGAAAATAAAGTTGGATATGCATCATAACGTAAACGAGATCTGGCAGTAATGAACCTTGTTTCAAAATGTTTATTACAAACACACATAGTACGTAGTCTCTTGAAACTATGGCTGCGAAGGTGAACACTACCAATGCACTGTAACCACTTTTGGAGTCCTCTCTCAGATGTGGGAAACCGATGCAATTTAACGTTCCGTCGTTTACTGGGACAGTTTTCTATACAACACTTTTTGTACATGGTGATAATTACTAAACGGCACACAAAATTACTGGTTTAGCTGAGATCGTAAGCATGGATAGAAAACAACAATACTTCACTCTATCAACGCTAAACTACTTCTTCTTCTTTATTTATTAGTGGCTTGTTCTGTGTCTTCACAATTCCGCCAATGTCACATAGGTAGCCTCTACACGGGAGGACTGGATTTATTTTCAAATATAATTTTGACCCTTACTGCTGTCTGTGAGACTCGAAGCGGGTTGATCTAAAACAAAGCACACAGTTGCGACATCACAGGACAACACAATGACAACAAGACAAAGCATAGCCTAATAAAACAGGGTTGTTAGTAAACTTTTTAGATACATTAATGAATTAATGTAAGCAGTGTAATTATAGTCAGGTGTTATATAAGAAATTAAAAATAAATAAACAATTAGATAAAATAATGAAAAGGAAAAAAACAAAAAAGGTAAACATTTTACAATTGTAATTGGTTTATAGCCAATTTTTTTTTTTAAATTTTAAAAGGGGAGGGTGTGGACGTCTCGGGGATGCACTATATGCTAGTTGGACGAGAGACATCTTGAGGGAGTAAATCGTAGAGAGAAACATTCAGATTAGGGCAGTTAAAAAGAACATGATCTGTGGTGCCATCCTCAATGCCACACTCACAGAGAGAGGTATCCCTTATCCTAATTTTGGCAAGATGAACAGGTGCATGCCCAAGCCTTAGGCGACAGATGGTGGATATGGCCTGTTTACTAAACATTTTTTGTATGAAAAACCACAGCTTGTTTGGGATACATTTTTGGATCTCGTAGTAGTATTTACCTGCTCGGTTTCTAGTGTTTTGCCAACCGACCTGCCATGATCTCAGTAGGTGGTCATGCGCTAGGGTGAAGAAATCGTGTGTAGCCGTGCCCTGGGATCCATGCCAGGATAATGTTAAATGATTTGAGTTGGCATCGGTTCAGTACTTCTCGGATTTTCAAGATAATAGGGAACTTGTTTTTGAAGCGGAACGGATTTACTAATACAGACTATTCACTTCACTTTTTATTTTTATGGCTCCATCAATATGAGAACTGATGATTTTGCCAATGTCACAGTTGAAAGAAAAAAAACGAAACAAAAAAAAAATTTTCGCTAAGCTCTAATAGGACATTAACCGGTGTTGGTAAGTTGGACTACGGGAGTACTCAGTTGATAATGTAAAACAAAACAGCAAAACAATATTTATAAATATATGTTATTAAGTGGATAAATTTACATAGAGTAACAATTTGGGGGGAGAACACTAAAGTTAAGAGGTTGTTTATGTTAATGGGGCGGGGTAATTTTGGAGAAAGTAAGTTATAAAGTGGAACAGCAATATTAGGACAATTGAAAAAAATATGTTCCAAGGTACCGTCTTCCAAGGCCGCACTCGCACAGAGAGTGATCTCGAACTCTGATTTTACGCAAAAATACAGGTGTGCAAACATGGCCTAAGCGCAAACGAATAATAGTGGAAGTGATGTTTTTAGGCAAATCGCGACGACTATTCAACTTCAACTTCAACTTTTATGTCTATGGCTCCGTCGTTTTGCGCGACGATTTTGCCAATGTCAGGGTTGAGAGACATGTGTAGCGGTAGTGAGACAGATTGCCGGTTATTAAAATACTTCGGCGGTTTTTATTCACAATGACGGTTATATATATATTTTAATGACATTACAAAGATATTAGATTAGATGACAGACTATTAGATTAGATGCGGAGTTAAAATGTCAATGTCAAAGACAAATCTAAATCGTATTTATGGAAGTGACGGCCATTTTAATAAAAAAAAAAAGTCGTGCTCTAATTCGCTCCTCCAATTGCACATTGCCGACATATGGAATAGATTACCCGCTGTGGCGAGGAGGATGGAAAAAAATAAAGGGTAATAGTCTAGGGCCGGTGTAGAGATGGGAAAAACTGCTTATTTTTTTAAACGTTATGCTTTTTTAAACGCGTTTTCACTTAGACGCTTTTTAGTTTGAAGCTAACAAAATCGTTTAGAAAACGTTAAGCGCATTGACTTTTATGTTAAAAAGAAGCTTGAACGTTGTTGTGTTGATAGCGAAACGCAAGAGTAGCCACCACTAAAGGTTTTAAGATAAGTAAGTTTTTTTTGTAAAAAAAGAGTTATATTTTTAACATAATACTACTATATTAACATTATGTTCATTGGCGTGAGCAAAAAGCAAAAAGTGATTTAAATGAAATCACAACAGAAAAAAAATCCTCTTCACTTCATTAGCTCGGAAAGGTTTTTGAAATTCGAACTTGACGATGGACACCTAATGGATGGTGCACTCTTTAGTTTCCATAGTCTAAGGGTGCACCTAACTTTTTTACGATGAAAAAAATCCATAATGACAGGTTCAACTAAGCGACTCTGACGTTTTGTCGCTGCTGCGAAGGAGATGTAAAGCAGCATTAGACTAGTGTTTGCTAGAGGAAAATATTACTTCAGACATTAAAGCTTTTTGGCGATACACAAAGGCAAAAAAGTAACCAATGACTTTCCTAGACATGTACTACTTGGCGCATTCTACTGAAAGTGGTCCTGATATTGCTAATTTATTTACAAGATTCTTTTCATCTGTCTATGTGAGTGCCAATCCGCAACATAAATACTCTGTGAATATTCCAATCTCGTATTATTCTCTGTTCACATCCTGAACAGAGGATCATCCTGGTCTATTAAATCGACCTTTAAGTCAATTGATACTGGAAACAGCGCGGGCCCTGGTGGGATTCCGCCTATTTTTGTACAACGATGTTCCGTTGTGTTGATAAAGCCCTTGAGTATTGTTTACAACAAATCATTGAGCAATGGTTGTTTTCCAGATCTGGGGAAGTTGCCTAAGATCGTGCCCGTACACAAAGGAGGAGATAAAAAGTGTATTTCTAATTATAGACCTATAAGTATTCTTAATTGCTTTGCTAAGATTTTTGAAAGCCTCGTATATGATCATATTTGATGACAGTTATCAGACCCCAACAACATGGATTTGTAAAATCTCGATCTACTGCTACTATTATTTTAAGTTATATGCATTACTTGAGTTGTTTATTCGATCAATCTGGACAGGTAGATTCAGTTTACACTGATTTTGCTAAAGCATTTGATCGCGTTGATCATGCTATACTTTGTATTACTCAGCTGAGCGCTGAGCTTTAATACAAAGAATTCATGGTTCGCTTCTGAGGTGACTTTATTCATATTTGCAAAATCGTACTCAACTTGTAACAGTTTATGGTTTTGAGTCAGCTCCGTTTCTTGCGGATTCCGGCGTTTCACAGGGATCAAACCTCGGTCCCTTACTCTTTCTGATGTTTATAAATGACCTGAGCCAGTTCAAGTGTGAGTGCCTAGCCTTTGCAGACGACCTAAAATTTTTTCGCAGAATACATTCTACTGATGATTGCGTCGCACTGCAATCTTTTATTGTTTAGTAACTGTTAAAAAACTATATACATTCAGTCTTGCTAAATCATACATATCATTAAAGCGCAGGCCACACCGCGAACGAAGTTAAGTTATCTTTTTTTCCTGAGGACTCTTCGTCATGGATACCACCGCGTCACGGGGAGGCGCGGTGGTTATGTGAAACTCTTAATCACTAAAAACCCCCGGATATTCCCACACCCCGCATGGGGCGAGGTTGTGGCTAAGTAGTTTACGATCCACGGCCCCGTCTGCGGTTGTCCTCCACCGTGGACCCACCTTTGGGGGCATCACAATTCCTCCTTCATCGTTTGCGGCATGCCGGGAATACTTGGCACGCCAACCAACCCGTGAACCCTTATCCAATGGGTGACAAAAGACCCTGAAATCTTTATGGATACCCCTGAGCCCAGGGAGACTCAGGGGTTATGTGGGGACTCTCCCTCCAGACTGGAGGGCCTACCCCACTAAAACCCCCCGGGTTTCCCTCTCGCCGGTTGAGTCGGCGCCGTGGGATCGGTGAACATTCACCACGACGCCGCCCGGCCGCCCTTGCTTGCGCCAGAGCTCCCGCGCCAACGGAGGGGCGAGTCGGTTGTCCTCCGACCCGCCCCCCCCAGACGAGTGAGGCCGTGCAATGTACGCTCCGGAGTCCCTGTCCAGAGCCCGCTGGCCTCACTAGGGGATCAGGCGAGCAGCGAACTGCCTTCGCCTTCTCCCCTTACGTCTTTCGCTGTGTGGCCTGCTCTTAAGTAAGCCACGTATGCACAGCCGGGCAAAGGTCGAAATGACGAAGTATATTTTGTAGGACCTATGCATAAAGGTCAATCAAAGGAGTTGGTTTGAACAACACACATTACACACGTGTAGGTCTGAGTCTATTGGTGAAGCTGTCGTCGCAGCAATGTCAGCAGGCGTGATGTGATAGAGAAAGGCATAGTGTCCATTGCACACGTTAGTCAGATTAGTTGAAAAAAGACACCTTATATTATGTACATTTACATCGCATTAACGTACATTTATCAGCAGTCGAGCTCCTTGTGAAAGAGTTGCGTGAGAGTTCGTCCAGGGAAGTACTGCCACCTCACCTATTTCTGCTGCCAAGCAGTAATGTGAGCATTATTGCGTTCCGGTTTTTAAGGGTAAGGGTGCTGGTGAAATTACAGGCACATGGGACTTGTCAACTTATGTCTCAGGGGGACGGGCGCAGTGGCAGTGTCCTTAAGATCTTAGCGATTTAAAGCTCTGAGTGGCACTGGTACTGTTATGGACAGGCGTGTAGCTTACTATCAGGCGCACGACTTGTTCGTCCCTTGATATATAAAAAAAACATGGTACGCCACGCTCAATAGACAATGCTCACTGAACTACGAACACTCATTAGTCCATCCCATTCTTTATCCGAGGAATATCCGAAGTTATTATTGCCATTAGGATGTCTGTCAACCACTTATATATATATTCTATTCTTACAGATGGATTAAAATTTACCATTTTAAATTGCTCGGATTTGGTTTCTTTTACGGCTAATTGAATTGTTTTTCAATCCATAATATTACCTGGTTTCATTGTGTTGTCTTGATTGATAATATTGTTTGGCAATAATAAATAGTACTTGGCAATAATACCCGGTTTCCAGTGAAGGTGTGGATACTCACAGGTGTCTCAGAACTGTGACCTTGCTGTGATGATCCCACTAATGGTAGAGATTTTTTCTTTGATAAATATGTGACTATTAGTGGTTGTATTCGTGTATTTATGGCGTTTGTTTGGTTCCATCTGGAACTGGTACATATTTCTTTCGTTTTTCTTGGGGTTTTGCCTCTGTCCAAAAAAATCCGTTTAAGGTTTCAGGCGAGAAAACTTAACCTTACTACAGGACCATCGAATGTGTTAGTCAATATACATCAAAATAAACTATTCTCCAAATTCTGAATTTGCTATATTCCGAAGAATATTGATGTTGTATAAATATTTTTCTAATTTCAGTCAAAGACCGACATTAGACTAGTAAAAAAACGATATCTCCAAGATCTCTAAGACAACTTTACCTGTGCAGTAGTTTCCGCGAGGTCAACGTCGCCCGAGAGAGGGTTGACCTTTTCACGATCGGGTTCTGGTTCCTCCTTAACCTCCTCTTTCACCTCGTCCTTCAGCTTTCAAAGATTTTTGCGATAGAACTTCAGCTGCTTATTCTGGACATGGAAACGACATTCGTCTGACGAATTTCGTAAATAGGTACGCTGCGCGCCATTTTAATTAAGCTAGATAAAATAAATCAATCGGTAGAGCGCTATGGGTATTTCGTCTCATCCGAAGAACAAAGTCCGATGTGATTATTAGCAAAAAGAGAATATGTGCCTTACGAGAATAATTTCGTTATTCAAACTAAGGCCTATGTAAAGGTGTTTAGAGATTTCGATTATATCTTATTTCGTTTCGGAAATATAAAATCGAACAACGGTCGATCTGACATCCACGGCGAAGAAGAACGAACGAAATGTACTATTATGTCCTGAAAACATGTAGTCTTGCACATAGATCTTTGTTCTATGAATATGATGAAACGGATAGCGATTTGGCCGGATCCGGTAAGCAACTACGTAGGATAGCTGGAAATCCGGCCGCCGGATATCGGACTCCTGTCGCAAACATGTCGCGTCTGGTTGATAAAGCTCATTAGTGAATGCACTTTTACATTGACGACATAAGTTATTGTGATCACTTGGTTTTTGTTAAACATTTAAATATTTTATATTTAATCGATAATACAAACAGATACACAACAAAAAAAAATGTCAAGAGTGAACAATAAATAGCCAATTTAGCAATATTTTAATATTAGTGCTATTAGTTTGTTGTACTGGATGCAAATTTCTTGTGGTGGAGAAGGAAAAAAGCAGTTACATACATGAATCTTTGTCCGTGTTAAAATTTCCAGTTGTTACTTGATAAGTAGGTATAAGATATGTCCGTTACTCTTTTGTTTCAATTTGATTTCATTAATTTTTTGTTTGTGATCTAACTTTTGAAAAAAACTTGATACCAGTTTTTGCCGATTTTTTTCTAATTCTAAATCTACTTACACGTTTCATTAGTATCGGTACACATTGTTCATACGAAAACATAATTATTTTAAATCGATTATTATTTGACGACAGTTCGAGTCGATCATGTAGCAATTCTTTCATTTAGTGGTCTGGTAACATTAAGCAGTACCTATGACAAAGTTTGTAATAATATTCAATCTTATGTTTTTCCTGTTTTTGTTATTAGTGCTTTCCACAAATTAGAAAGATATAGTAGGAACAGATAGGAAACAGGCCCTTTAACGGAACGTTCGTAGAGGTAGTTCCGTGCCCCGTGACAACACGCTGGTGGCGCTAGTGTACCGAATAGTGACGCGCCTTAAACCTTTATGGATCGGTTACTATTAGTGATGTCCTGTATCGCACTTTTACGGTAAAAATTACGGTTTCATCGGTCCTAGTTACTTTTTCGTATTACTAATGTTTTGTGGCTTAAAATAAAATACTGTATTTTCAGTTATATCTGTTTATTAATAACGAAAGCTACTACCGTTTCGTAAAGGTGTTAACGCATGGGAGAAGAAACGGCGAAAGAAACTCCCAGCAACACGTCTTTTGAATCTAACAATTAATGAATGATAACTAACCACAATTATTAAACAAAAGGTCGCTCGGCAGATTAGAGCACATAAGTCAAAAACCAACATCATTCGTTTATAGTAATACATCTACCGACTAAACACAAAGTCTAATTAATTTTTACTTTAATTTACAACTTAAATTCTAGTGGCGTCTTTTTCAGATTTATCGTTCTCTTCGCTTCTCCCAACATTAGAAACAACAAGAAAATATATAATTATATATCAAAAGATTTGTAGTGAAGTAAACATGACGATCAGTTTTTTTAAGCTATCGAACTCACAGTAGTAATTATAAAAATCGTTTATGCGAAATTCGATACACCAACAAAATTATTACATATTAAATGCGGAAAAGTACATAGATCAAATGTCACTAAATCCTTGAAAACACCAAGAAATCACATTATCATATCACATTGTCGTGTTAAGCCATCGAGCATGTTAAACTAAGTAACATCACTTTTATTTTTGTCAGTCAATATGTTGAATATTGTGTATGTGGTCTGTGTTCTGATGTCCTTTTTCTTTTCCGGGTCACCAACTCTGCATTTATCTGCAGTAGTACAGCATAAGTATGATCTCCCACTGTCCGAACAGCTAAAATGTAAGAAAAATAACTTATAAGTAATATCTTATTAATATAATAAATGTATAAGTATCTGTAGCCACCAAACCACTGAATACTTACAGACAGTTACAGGACAAGTGGGTTTTCGACATGCTATTTCCACTTCTGAGAATAATGTAGGCCATGAGAAAGGCACTCTTTTATCATCTTTGATAAATTTATCCTCAAAGTGAAGTTTGCAAACCTGAAATTTAATAAATTTTGTGGATATAGTGCTTACATTTCAAATTACAAATGTTGAATGCCTTTTAAAACAATTTAACATTTAAAATATATATTTATGTCTCATGTTTTTTTTAAGGCTTCAAGTTTTATGAGGCACTTATGTGTTACTTCCTTAGAATCACCGAGAATATTAGGAGTGTTGAAATAGGAATTAGTTGATTGAAACTCTATTTTTAGGCAATGATACAAATACCAACTAAGCCACGGAACGAACCAACGGACCTCACGAATTCTTCTATGTGCTTGCGTCGTGTCTTTGTACTTGGTCTTTCAACGACTTTCTAGTCGTAGCGCCATCTATGAGAAATCTTTGACAGATTTATCACAGATTCGATCTTAGTATTAATAATTATAACAAACTAGTGGAGTAATTTCACAAAAAATAATTGAATATCAATTCAATAAAAATTTAATTGATACAATACTTATCTTAAAGCATGTTGAAGGCTAAGGTACGTTGTTTGGTTCTCCTAAAACATTCATTTTCTATCATTTTGAGTGTGCTACGATTATCATTAAAAATCGTTATAGGTTCTGGTGGTGACAGACTGCTGTATTTGAGTTCGAATAAAAATATTTTTTTAAATTTTGCCTCTTTTGCAGAACTTTCAAGAGCATAATATTCAGCCTCAGTGCTAGAACAAGCCACATTGTTGTTTGTAGCTGTACCAATTTACAATTCAAAAGCCGAACCTACTCAGAAACCCTGAATATGACTTTCGATCAGTCTTATCCCCCGCCCAATCTGCGTCAAATGATATTTCAACTTTACTACTACCTCTACTAAAATTGAGTCCGTAGCTGGTTGGAACTGAGCAACTTATATAGCATGTTTTTTTGGTGCTCATTTGAACTAAATATGAAGAAGTTATCATCATAAAGTGCTATGATGGCCTTGTCTTTGTAACAGATACGTTTTTCAGTCTTTAATTGAGTATAGCCATTGGTAATTAAAATTTTATGCACTTTTCATTCCAGGTTCTACTGGCTTGTTTCAGTCCATATAAACTCTTCTTGAGTAGACAAACTTTGTCCCTCATCTCAAATTCAGTAGGTTACTCCATGCAAATGCATTCATTATGATCTCCATTGCGGAATGCCGTATTAATGCATTCGTTGATTATAATAATCTTTGGGCGTGCAGGTAATCGTTCAACCACCGAGGTCGTTTTTGTTGTGCACAAATTAGAAAGATATTTGCTGTGTAAAATAACTCACATAGGCATTCCTTTGAATGCAGTTCCGGTGCGTAAGCGACGATGCTAATCTTGAGCTGTGAGACTTTAGGAGGTCTATCCATACTCGTTCTAGATCTACGCTGCGAGACCACCGGCACAGGTTTGCTGTCTCCGATGTGGATGAACAGCCGTCGACGAGGCACCTGTTAACACGAGACATATCTCTGAAAACACAAAAAGAAATAAAACAAACAAAGTACAAACCAATAAGTTGAAATTGCAGAAGTCCCACGCTAACAAGCTGGTCGCTGATTGTTTCTGCAACAAATAATAAAAGTTTTATTAGAAATAGACAGTAAATCTTTCACTCGCAAAGCGAAAAGAAAAACTCAGAATTCTAGAAAAGAAAATTAACGGTATAATTTTTTTTAATGTCGAATCGGACAATCATCCTTTCTGCGTCGTGATTATGGTCTCAAAAAATATTTTTTAATGTAAAATTTATTAAGGTTTTAACTACTAAAAATCTTATTATGACAATAAATTTAACACGTCAATTTATTATGCATTTTAATTAATTTACAATTTCATTCCAAGAGTTGCAGGGTCGTATTCCAGAACTCTACTCAATGCTCGAGTCAGGACTTGAGTATGATTTAAAGCTCTGAAAATCATACTCAAGTCCTATTTCCAGAGTAGTATTTCCAGTGCTTGAAATCAAGTTGAAGTGAAGTTGAAGTCATTCCAATCGTTACATTTAAAAGTATCGTAAAAAATATTTTATTTTCCGTGTCGTGGACTTTGAAAATGTCACAAAAACCACACAAAAGTTCCAACAGAGGTTACAGACGGTGTGAAATATGCCGAATCCAGGAAGCACACGCAAAGACTCCGTTGTTTTTCGCTAACTTTCCTTTGAACGTAGACCGGTGAGTTATTTATGGTTATTTACCAACAGCATTGATAAAAATAGATAGATAGAATACGTTTATTGACTTACCACAAGCACACACAATAATATGAAACAACAAATAGCGAAAGAAAGAAAGAAGACAAAAAATCTCAAAACAAAACATACAAAATAAGTGCTGCAGCAAGCCAAACAGGCCATAGCTCAGTGCAGGTGTTGCATTTGCATTGCATTGCATTGGGTGCAACTCATCGAGTATATAACCAGAAATAGAGACGAAATAAGGGCCATCTATCCCTGGCAACTCATCAGTCAAATGGTACTGATATCACTTTTAAATATCAATCTCGTTTTTGCTGAAATCACAAATTAGAAAGCTGAAATAGTACAGCGCCAACAACCAGTGTGTACGTCTCCGTATATTCCAAAAATATTCTGTACTTATTGTAGTAAAGATAATATTTCTAACAATGAGGGGCTGTTCCATTCGTTAGTGTGGGAAACAGCAAAACATCTAATTACTACACATTAGACATGAGCGCCGATAATAGGCCAACCGGCGGCGGCGCGCCGACAAAAAAGATTCAGCGGCGGCGAATTTTGAAATTGTGAAACTCACGTCTGCCCATATTCTTTTTGTGTAGAAGCAGTTTGGCTGCGTAAGCAGCAACGACATTTTTTGTTTTAATTAAATTTAGTTCATCGCCTTGCAGTTGGAGATTCATGTCGTTGAACAATTTATACAGGTCTGTCATGTAAGCTATATCATTCTTTTATGTAATGAGCTTGTTGCGCAATTCTGTATCTTTAGTTTCCAAGAACTCTATCACAGAGTCAAACAGGTTGTATTATAATCGAGTCAGACAATTGCATCTTGATAGCCAACGAACTTCAGTATGAAACAACAAACGGTTGAAGTCTTCATCATTAGTAACACAAAGTTGATGAAATAATCTATCATTCAAAGAGCTGTTACGAATTTTATTGACTGCTTTGATGACATATTGCAGTGATTGGAATTGTCGTTCACTTAAATTTCTAGCAACCAAAAGTTATCTATGAATAACGCAATCTACAGCAAGGACATCTGGAATTTTATTTTTTAAGTACGCTATGAAGCCTTTATACAGGGTGCCCTGTCATAGCCGGAGCGCCATCCGTAGCAACTGATATAATATTTTCCAAGGGAATCTCTTTCTCATCACAAAACTTTTCCAATGTATTGAATATGGTTTCGCCTTTTGTATCGGTTTCTAAATTTCTAGCAAACAATAGTTCTTCACATATTTTCTCATCTTTAATAAACCTCACAAATAATGCTTCATTAGTTGGTAAAGTGGACTCATCTGGAATTGAGAATTGACTAGTCCTCAGATGATTGCACAATGATTCTTCAATGTTTTCAGACATTTCATCAATTATAAATCAAAATAATATCTGCGGCCGGTTTATGAAGCACAGTAGTTATTACTTCATTTATTGCTGGCAAAATTAACTCTTCTCCGATGTTTGTGTTTGCCTTTTTGAGCAATTAACAAAGAGATATTGTATGAAGCTCGAAGTCCGTCGTCATCTTGCTTAGCAGCCGCCGAAAAGAGTTTTGCTACACTTGGCTGAGTATTACGCTTCTTCTCTAGGTCTTGAAAATATGCTACATTCTTGTCTTTCTTATCTGGATGCATTTTATTCAAATGATCTTGCAGTCTTGAAGGCTTCATTGCTTCATTCGAAAATGTTTTTAGACAGAAGGCACAAAGGCGACGATGGGCTTGTGGGATTTTCAATGAATCCGAATTTAATATATTCCGCACAGTATTGCCGACTCCTCTTTTTTCTTCCGACATTGTTTTGTTTTGAGAAATACGTAAGTAAGTGTTGAACTTAAGTACTGCTTATCTATTACGCGCGAAACCGCTAATGAAAATAAAATAAATATTACGTTGTTTACACACGATTGCATAAGCAGCACGCACCGACAGGAATAAGACAAACATGCATAAACTCGTTCATCTCATTCGAAGCTCAGTCGTAGTCAACAAGTAAGAACAAGTATTCTATGAACCAGCCGATTGATACAGGAATGCACAAATCTAGTTATTTAACAAAAACTTGCTAAAACATGATTGCCCGCGGTCTATTACCTACGAAAATTATCTATCTAGGAATACTAATAACTATTAAAATGCGAAACTGTGTCTGTTGCCTTTTTATTTGTTTGTTTGTGTCTACTTTCGACCGATTGACATGATTTTTGTTTTATTTATTCAATAAAACAGGACAGATATATGAACTATACGGAGAGAAATATCGAACCGAGTTAGTTTGAGCAATCTCTTAATTAATATTAGTTTAATGTTCACAAGTCGAGAGCTCAGTCGGTGTCTAGAGTCGTATTCCAGAACTCTACTCAATACTCAAGTCAGGACATGAGTATTGCAGTGAGCACTGAAAATCATACTCAAGTCCTTGCCATTAGAGTCGTATTTCCAGTGCTTGTGTTTCAATTGCAATCCTGACTTGAGCATTGAGTAGAGTTCTAGAATACGACCCTTAGAGTCTTCCTAGATGAAATTGCAAACCTCCCCCTAAGCCTCTACACAAGGACCCCATTTTTTCTGGGTCTCTTACCGCCCCCCTAAGGGGGCGTTATCACCCACTTTGGGAAAGGCTGGTGTAACAGAAGATGTAGCAAGAGATAGTGTCAGTACAAACATGTTATATTACTTAACCATATTTACAATTATTATTTCTTTTTTCATTTGTAGGTTAACTTTAAAAATAAAAATTATAATAAAAAAAATAAAATCCTCGTTGTGAATTGTTTTAATAACAGAGTATCGATAATACGTGGGGCGCACTATAAGTTTCCTGAATAAATAAGAAAAAAATAGTATACATGGTTAGAAATGAATTTGTTTCTCAAAATATTCTCCGTTAGCGTTAATGGACTTTTTAATACGAATGAACCAATTTTGGAAACATTTATGCCACTCTTCCGACTTTCGTGACAATCCCTGAAACATATTTTTCGTACTCTTCGACAGCCTCTTCAGTTGATGAAAATCGTTGACCGTGTAACTAGTTCTTTATTTTTGGAAATAAATAAAAGTCATAAAGGTGCCAGGTCGGGGCTGTACGCGGTATGGCTCACAAGGTCAACGTCGTCGTTCACCTTCAAAAATTCATTTGTCTGGCTGGTCGCGTGAGAACTGGCATTATCGTGTTGCAAGATGATACGGCGTTTACGGTTATTTTTACGGAGTTTGTCAATAACTTCCGGCAAACAAATGGTTGTGTACCAATCACTATTCACGGTACAACGATTCTTCAAATCAACAGTAGCCACGTGTCCAGTTTTATTAAAAAAGAAACAATCATCCGCTTAGAGGTACTTTACCTGTACCGCTAAGAACAACGCTATCTCAAAATAATCGTTATCAATAATCATCAAAATTAACAAGCTGGCGATCTAAAGTAACCAAAACAAAATTCGGCAAGACTTATGAATAAACTACTTAATAAGTCTAATTACATGAAATATTTGGGCTATTGTATGATTTATAGACAGCAAAATAACACAAGCCGTTGTAACGTAACATTATTGCCACTGCCGCATCCTTAATGCTGCAGCGACGTATTTTTATCAACACACTCTTATTTATATATATCAATATAACATGTCCTTTGGTTTCCATAGTCTAAGAACTACACGTGCGTATTTATTTATTTATTACATATTGCTTACAGTCAACCCAAACGCAATAGTAAGACTTAAAGCTAAATGAACAATCAATCTTAAGTCAATTACAAAAGTGAATAAAATACGAAAATTGATAAAATTTTAAATACAATACCATAAACAATAATATATTACAGATGAACATTAATGACAAAAAAAAAAGATAAAATCCATTTGTTATTGCATTTTAAACTAACACTTAATACTGCTGTCTCCAGTCAAGGACTCCAGATAGTGTCCTGCAGAAAATATGAATTTTGTTTCTGAGCATGCAAAAAGGTCCAATGAGGAGTCAAAGTTAAGCAACTGACTTAGGGTCGTATTCTAGAACTCTACTCAATGCTCAAGTCAGGACTTGAGTATGATTCAAAGCACTCGAAATCATAATCAAGTCCCTGCCATTAGGGTCCTATTGCCAGTGCAATCCTGACTTGAGCATTGAATAGAGTTCTAGAATACGACCCTGAGATACTTAAGTGCTCGGGGCAGGGGGGGCCATCTCACTCGCTCTACATCGTGTGGTAGGTACTGCAAATAACCTCATTCCATGAAGTCGCACCAGATTAGTTCTAGGTACCATAAATCCTACCTTGGACAACAAAAATGGTTTACATATTATTCCCCGTACCAGACGAAACACACAAGTTACCAGAGCCAGATTGCGTCTCACTTCTAGCATTCTATAATTTACCATGCCTAAAATAAATGCTGTCGGATAAAGTAAGGGGTAATATCCGTACATCTTCTTGTATAAGTTTCGAGCAAATGTCTTCTGAATTTTCTCTAATGTTTGTGTGTGGTTGTGATGGACGGGGTTCCAAATAATTTTTTCTGAGTGTTTTTTCTGAGTGTTCGATCTTTGTATTAATAATTATAACAAACTAGTGGAGTAATTTCACAAAAAATAATTGAATATCAATTCAATAAACATTTAATTAGCACTTAGAATGTTATATTTTGGATATGTACTTTTAAATAAGGTAACCAAGGTATTTGAAATTTCGTGTCCAAGTTGATCATCATTGTTTAGTTAATAATTAGGTATATTCGCTACTTACGTAATATTTATTGGCAATATGAATTGAAAATTCGAGAACCCTTGTCTACTAGCTCACGAAGTCATGGCGCCTCATTCATTATATTGATATAATAAATCTGTATTTTTTATACATACATATCTCTGCAGTAAATAAATGAAGAAAACAATAACTGAATGAGTCTCAGACATAAGGTTTTTTACTTACTTCGTTTCATCTTTCGGAAAATGATGATAAACAGCTGTACACAGCACAATTCACGACCATTATAAATAGTAACGTAAAATGATGTTTTATGTTAACGTACAAGTTTCGTAATGAATAAATGAAAATTATATTCAAATATCAAAGCCGTCTTCGCGCGAAAACGGCTCGCTGGCAAGCCTTGTTGTCGTTCAGTCAATGTGACCGGCAACGTGCGGGGCGTGGTGCGGTATCTAAAGCTAGGGAGGGGCGGAAGTGTCCGTTCTCTTTACTAGTTCTCTGCTAAAAGACAGGTGAACTATTAAGATCGTGCAAAAGGAACTAGTTCCTCGCGTACAAACTTGCTGCTACGTTGTATGGAGTTACCGTAAAGTATCTTATTACTAAGCTTGCACACTGCGATTATGTTAGTACAAACGGCTGCATGTTACACAAACCCTTAGATGGCGCGGCAATTTCTTAACGTAAGCTGATCCAGTGAAAATAGAAATTCTTATTAGTTGCAGAGAATGGGTGCGAATAACCGGTAATGAAGATCTTCCTAATTTGCCTATAGAAAAATTACATACTAGAAAGCATTTATGTGGCCTCCATTTTAAAGACACGGATTTGAACAAGAAACGAAATCGCCTCAAGAAACGTGCTGTGCCTTGTTTAAATTTGACATCTGCCCCACTACGTGATGATCAGTTATGTGAATTTCCACTGCGTACGTGGAAGCCAAGTGGTAAATATCCTTGAAAAAATTGTTAGATGAAACACGTACTAAAAACGATAAAAAATAAAGACATGGGAAATGAACTATTTTTCCGGATTTAAATCGCGTGTATTTGTTTTTTCAAACAAACTAACGTTTCGAACCCTTTACAGGTCCCATGGCCACGGTTGACAGTAAAATTTGTAGTGCAACGTACAAACTTATATTGTTCTTAGCTATACCGTGCATCGTGCAATGTATTGTTTTTAATTGTTTCAAGTACAGCAGAGGTTCATGAGACGGGTATAAATAAGCAGGTCGAAGATGAAGGTGCTGTAAAAGAGGACGTTCCTCCCGGAACTGCTATTCAAAAGCACCCGATCACCAGAGCTGCTGTTCCAGGGGAACTGTTTCCAGAAGTACCAAATGAAGTGTACGCAACTTGGGTTAGCCCTACCACGGAGGGTCCAAAGTTATGGCAGAAAAGCATCATGGATTCTTGTGCCATAGGTAAAAATATCAAATTCCTAAAGGCACCTAGTACTTTTAAAGTATACAGGGTCATTAAAATAATAACCAGAGAAAGAGGACCATGTTCTAAAAAAAATCTTATTAGATGTGGTACAATCTGTATGTTTAGATAACATCATATACGTTGCTCTGATCCCAAAGTAACTAAAGCACGTGCTATGAAAATCGGAAACAATGACTGTAGCCAAACACCCACACCCGAGATAATAGAAAAGTAAGTTTTACACATTAACCCGGCCGGGGATCGAACCCGGAAACTCAAAATGCCGACACCATGGAAACTGGTGTTCATACCACTCGACCGCAGAGGTAATCAAAAAGTTTTTTTTTATTATATAAAATAATGGGACGAACAAGTCCTGTGCCTGATGGTAAGCTACACGCCTGGCCATAACAGTTGCAGTGCCACTCCTTTAAATCGCAAAGATCTGAGGGGCACTGCCACTGCGCTCATCATCCTGAGACATAAGTTGACAAGTCCCATGTGCATCTAATTTCACAAGTAGGTAAAGTGGCAGTACTTTCTTGGACTAACTCGGAGTTCTACTAGATTAAACTAGTAGATTAAACAATGAACGTAAAAGTGGACGTTAGACCATAGCGCTGCGCACATTAGTATATTGTGTGCGTTACTATATATGGGAAACAACGATGGCTCCACAAACACCCAGACTCGAGACATAGAAAAGGTAGTATGTTACTTAAACTTCTCGACAGGCAAAAGCGAGTAACTCTATTCAGACCATAGTTACCGAATAAAAGTTTCCGAACGTCCGTTTGTTCTCGTCGATATTTAACGGTAACTTGTCAAATGATCCTAACCATCCGATAAGTTAAATTCTTAAAAAAAGTTTAAGTTTAGCAAAAAAGTACTTTCGTATGTTTTGCAAGTACATACGGCATACGGCATTTTGCTTTGGGGTAATGTCGTAGATATTAATAGAATATTTGTCCTGCAGAAACGTGCGGTTAGGGCAATTTACAATCTGAACCCCAGAGTATCTGAGAGATAAGTTTAAGGAAATTAACATCCTTACACTAGCCTCACAGTACATTTATGAAAATGTAATTTATGTTAAAAGGAATAGTAATTTCTTTATGAAAAATAGTGACAGACGTAACATTAATATGAGGAATAAAAATAAACTAGCTGTTCTTGATAGTCGTCTTCACAAAGTCACAAATTCATTTAAGGGGCAATTATTGTCGTTTGTTGGTAGGTCAATGGGCAATGTATACGCTTCTATAACAAGATTCCGGTTGATATGCAAAATTTGCCATTCACGAGGTTTAAAACTATAGTGCAACAAAACTTTATACTAAAGGTTATTATACAACTTCTGCGTACTTGGATGACAAAAATCCGTCTAGCTCATGGAGGTAGTCTCGATCTCTGATGTTTGAAAGAAAAAAAAGTATTGTAAATGTTGAATGTGTACAAATGCTATTTATAAAGAGCAAACCCTAAAGTTTCTTGCTCATTCTTCTCAAGGGAATCTACCTTACGGATGCCTGGTAGAGTTTAACCAATGACGATTTCAAGTGTAATAATGATTACCTATGAAATAAAGATTATTTTGATTGGACTTGAATTGATATATGTTTTTAATGTAGTTTGCACAGTAATATTTGTTTTAGAAACAATAATTAGGAATTATATTCTGTTGAAAAATTTTGTTGACTGACTTCTGCCCATAGATACAGAAAAAACGGGGAGATATGTAATGATGCTATGTAAGATCGGGTACCGATGTCGCCACTTTTTAGCTTGTTTGCAATTCAAAGTTACGCTTTATTATCCACTACCATAACTTAAAGATTTAGATTGGGTAGGGCTTAAAACGTGAAAACGACGTAACACACTTTTTAAAATTTAACAAAATGAACCTTGCAGTCACTTAAGTAAGAGTTATATTACAATATTTCAGTTTTTTTTTTCAAATTGGTTCAGCCAGTCACCATCAGATGGCGTTTTAGTAAAAATGCTACTAGTATATAATAACTACACGTTAGATGGCGCTGAAACTCATTTTTCGTTACACTAAGAACTCACGGAGCGGTTTTCACCCACGTCTGCTGCGGGACCGCAGCATCTGTATAATGTGATAGTTAAGTATGTAAAATTAGTAGCATATTTCGCAGCGCGTTTTATGCCTGTAGTGGTGACGGTTGCTCGCGGTTGCCGCGGCGGGGTTAGTAGAACCGCGCAGGCCGTCGTCGTCCGCGCACTTTGGTGGTCGGTTCAGGCGCAATGTGGTGCAGGCGCACGCGGGATGAGTTCTCTATTAACCGCGCGACTTGCAATTAACTCCCACTAACTTCGCGGTTCGTTCGGCAACCCCAACGGTTTCGTGCCCGCAACCGCGGCGGCTACGTGCCCGCACAAACTTGCAGGGTTGTGAATATTGAAATAAAACCGCTGTCCCGCAGCACCGGCGGGCGCGATGGAAACCGCTCCGTGAATTGTTAACCTTAAACTGACGCTACTCAACGAGGGATGTGGTCCTACTTAATCGATAGTTAGAAAACATGTTTTTAATATTAAAAAAATATTCCATTTTGCATGCTATACCTACACTGGTACTGGTGTATTATTTAAATTAATATAAATTATTATCATTGTCTTAATGGCGGCCACTAGGCAGTGTCAGTATTATAAGAATAATATAAGAAATATGGCGATCGTAGCCAGTGTCAGTTTTCCATTATACGTTACCACGGGTTGGTGAAGCTGTCATTGTCAAGCGTAAACTCGGCCCATCAACGAATTTATTACATTAAATTGTGTTTTAAATTTTTATTGATTTGATATTAAATTATTTTTTTGTGAAATTACTCCACTAGTTTGTTATAATTATTAATACAAAGATTGAACACTCAGAAAAAATTTCTTCGATCCGGCCAGATTGGAACCGACGTCTTCTAGCTTACCGTACTACTGGTAGCTGTAAAGGTACTAACTGGGTGATAAATCTTTCATAGATTTTTCATAGATGGCGCTACGACTAAAAAGCCGTTGAAAAATCAAATACAAAGACACGACGCAAGCACATAGAAAAATTCGTGAGGTCCGCTGATTCGTTCCGTGGCTTAGTTGGTATAGCGTCTGTCAATAGCAGTAGAGTTTTACCTATTTTTGTCGCCAAGCATTGTGAACGTTACTGCGTTTAAGTTTTTGAAGAGTAAGGGTGATGGTGAAATTACAGGCACATGGGACTGGTAAACTTATGTCTCAACTAGACCTGTGTCGGTCGATCATTTTTGATAACCCGGGTCGATCATGACCCATGAGTAATATAATCAGGTCAAATGATTCGATTATGTTCGACATTTTAGCGGGTCACCCGTCTCTCATGACATCATATGGCTTTTAAAACGCCACGTGAGAGTGCACGAGACAACAATAATATTGTGAATTGTTGAATAATCTCTAAAATTATAGTGATAAAGTCGAATTGCGCGCATGACCCATGACACTCTAAAATGATTAGGTTATTTAGAAGCTAGTAACCCAGGTTATCGGGTCATGGGTGCTATTATATCTATTATCATTTTGATTCGATCGATCACGATCGACACACGTTTAGTGTCAACGTGACGGGCGCAGTGGCAGTAACCCTGAGATCACCCTGAGTCACAAAATTTTTAGGAATCTATCTAATAATATAACATGGGAAAAACATTTAGAAATCTTGTGTATGAGAATAAATCGATTTGCATACGCTTTATGGAGACTATCTAAGTTGTGGACCAAGGTGCATTACTAGTGGCATACCACGGATACGTCGCGTCAATCATAAGATACGGCATCATATTCTGGGGTAATGTCAAACGCAGTACGGACGTATTGATTGCACAAAAAAGATGTGTTCGGGCGATTTACGGATTGTGTCGTATGGATAGTTGTATACCACACTTTCAACAGCTGAGACTGTTAACAGTTCCTTCGACATATATATATGTGAAATAGTTCTTGTTGTTCGAAAAAATCCTTCTGAAACTGGTTTCCTGCAAGAGTACCCTCTTTCATGAAAATATTTGTGCGATGGCGCCAAAATTGTACAATAAGCTGCCAAATCACATCCTTGATACAAATGACATTACCAATTTTAAAAAGTGTGTTTTTAATTTATTAACCAGGAAAGGATATTACAAAGTCAGCGATTATTTAAATGACAATAACGTAAAATAATAATTAACTACGACAAAACAATGACATGTACGATATTATAAAGACTCGAAATTAAAATTAAGATTTGACATTTTGTAATTAAAACTGTACTGTTAAAATAATTTCATGACGCAAATTGTATGCCATGAAATTGGCAATACTTACTGACACAACAATGTTATATAAGACCTTCTAAACGTACGTACAACACAATAAATAATTTAATTTGATTTTATCTTTGTGATTTAAAGTTCTGGTTGACAGTGCAACTGTCACAGAAACTTCTAAAACTACCGGTTTTTTGTTTACTATGGTTTAGAAGTTCCTCCATCCATCTCAAAGTTCCATTTTAAATAAAAAATATCCCTTTGACATATACATATAGTTACGTATAAAACTTACCTCTTTTACAAAAAAAAAAACAAATACATGTATTACAGGTGTTATGCCATGTATAAATTAATAATGCCGGACTAGATTCACGAGATATTTTCAGTGTGAACCGATCGCAGACAAAAGGAATAAAAAAGTGAATAAATAGTCAATGTGATAATAGTGATGTGCGCTGTTCATATTGTGGTGCCACAAATGCAACGTCCCATCACTTGATATCTTAAAAAAAAAGGGAATTGTCTCGCTTCTTCTTAGATTAGATTTATTCACTGTGGACATCTCTAATATACACGGTGGAACGGAACGACCGACAAAGCCGAAAATATCACGTTAAGAACCCTACATGCATGAGTTTTATTTACTTTAAATGAAAATCAGAGCAGTTGGAAAATGTTCGTCCAGATTTAAACCTTTCGCGGTGCAACAACCCTACGCGAATCAATCGTGTTAGTACATCTACTGCCCCACAGGCGGCGTTCGTGTCATTGGCACTCGCAAAAGAAATAAGTGTACTCACTTGAATAGGTAATTAAAAAACATTGAACTTACTTTAAATTAAAAGGATGTTCGATTTGTCCACGTCCCCTTTACTCTTGCAGACATTCAGACATTTCAGACACATTCCTGGGTGTGCCGGTCACACGCCGATGTGGTTTTCCACACAAACACACTAATACACTTTACTTGCTTAATACAAACACTACTTATAAACAGCACTATTCCAATAAGTTGCTGTCACAACCCAAAAATTAATAAGTAAACGTTGTTTTGTGTTGTAAACACGAGAAAAACATGAGACCACGAGTTACCAAACAACCAGTCATTTTGAACTAATTTATGAATGAAAAAGTGTTACCAATTAGACTAAAGCAAATATCACTAAACAGAATGGTCACAGTACAAGCAAAAGACTCCTGAATACTAAGATAAAAATAATGTTAAATTTTAAACGATTAAACCTAATTAAATACGCACCAATAAATACCAAATTTTTTTTGTCGCTAGTTATAAAAGACGCTTTTGATGTCAAATCGTCACATAAAGGGACAAAGTTGCTTACTTGGCAACTCTGCATAGAGATGCGCGCGGCGGCGGCGTACGCATCGGATATCATTGATAACTAATATCTAAATGTTAATTTAAAAAAAAACAATTATGATAAAGAAATAGGTTTCGCAATAATCGTCTTGTCTGGTATAAGTACCATGAGCAATTCAAAAGTAAAAGTAAGGTAACTGCAGGTCGTTTAATGAATTGTAATAAATAATCAAATTTAACAATGTGATAATCGATACTCAAAAATAAGAAAACGAACCGTGGAGGTGGTCTGCAGACCTCCAAGCACCGATTTATTTATTTTCACATTACATTTATTAAAATTTCAACTACTCATCTCAAGTTAACAGAAATTTTCATTTTAAATGTTGATCTCATTAAAATGAACTCTTCGTTTTAAAGTTAGTAAATTCTTGTATTGTAAATTAAAACTATTTCCAAATGCATTGAAAAATAGACTAGTACAAAAAAACGATCTCCCAATTATGCTGCCAAAAACAGATAACAGGTATCAAATCTCTAAACCTCTAAGGTTATAAGCGACGTGATTGGCTGCCTCAATTTACTATTTTACGTCAGGGTCGGATTAAGGGTTACGAGACTATTGTAATTTGAGTATTTGACGCATGTTGTAGAACGTGTTTACTTAATTTAGTTATGTTTATTTAAGTTAGTCTTATCTTATGACGCAGAAAACATGGTTGAACTCATGTCAGAATCATTTAGAAAACTTTACTTTTCTTAAGTTGTTGTAGGTAGTTTATAACAACGCATAGTTTAGAAACAACATGTCTCCCGAAGATTCTATGAGAGGTGCATTTTTTCGGTAAATGTAAATATTGGGTCGTCAAACACGGAATTTAGGGGTGTTAATTACTCTCAAAATAATACAATAAAATACCCGAATAATTAATCATGATTCACATAATGACCGATCAAACAAAGTGATTGATCAAAGAAAGCGACTGATGGGGTGCTGATCAACGACGGAGGTCAGCGACCTATTAAATTTCAAAGTTTTTTGCCCTGAGTACCTCCCGGTAGTTGCCTCCAAACAGCTGTGTTTTATGATGTAGGGTTGACAATACAGACTTTTCAAGCAAATCTTTATCATTGAATAACTTGGAAACTATTACACTTAGAGCAAAAAGACTTTCAGCACAGTTAAGTACATATTTAAGACTCTTCACGGTTTTCGGCTTTGTCGGTCGTTCTGTTCCACCCGGTATAAAATTCATATTATCGCTTTAACTGTAGCGCAATGCTTCGACTTTTGTTGTTTCAGGTACAGTGGAGGTTCCACCGTATGTTGTGAACGAGCTGGTTCTTGATGACTCCCTACTGAACGTCGAAGATGAAGGTGCTGTGAAAGAGAATGCTGCCCCTAGAAATACTATTCAGAAGGACCCGTTCTCCAGTGCTCCTGTTCAGAAGGAACTGGTTCCAGAAGTACCAATTCAAGAGGACCTTAACCCAACCAAGGAGGGTCCATACTCATGGCAGAAAAGCACCGTGGTTTCTTGTGACACAGGTAAAAATATTTTTTTATAATACCAAGTGACGGGACGAACAAGTCGTGCGCCTGGTGGTAAGCGACACGCCTATCCGTGACAGTTGCAGTGCAATTTAGAGCTTTAAATCGCAAAGTTCTTAGGGGCACTGCCACTGCGCCCGTTACCGAGACATAACTAGAAAAGTCCCACGTGCCTGTACTTTCACCAGCATCTTTACCCTTCAAAATGGGAACGCAGTAATGCTTAGTAGGTAGTGTAAGCCTGGCGGCATAAATAGGTGAGGTGGCAGTATTTCCCTGGACGAACTCTTTCACAAGTTGTTCTACTGCTGCTAAATTATATTATGCGGTAAACGCTGTTACTGTCCCTGAACGGGTTAATCTGAAACTGACCCATTAAAGCTTCGAAATGGCAGACTCACTATTTGACTTATACAGGGTGGAAATTTGTAATGCCACCTGGAGGGAAAGTACTCTAAATACTGACAGAAAATTTTACTTAAAGGAAACATTCCTTTATTTTTTAAAAGAAATAAAACTGCATTCATAGATTTTCGAAAATTTGTAGCAACACGCGGTTATCGAACCCGCTTTAATCTGAAAAAAATGCACCCTGCACTTTTATTGCATCGATCGATAGGGTTAATTATAATAATAATAAAAAAGGAAAAAAAAACCATGAAATGTTAACGTATTTTAATAAAACTTAAAAAATGGTAATTTAACTAATTAGTTGCTCGAAATGAGCTCCATTTTCTTGGATATACACAAATTTAATTTTTTAACGAATTCATTTTGAGTAACTTTTAATAACGTGTTGTGATGAATTGTATTACAAATCGTATTCTGAACCTCAGCCTTCAACTCGTTTACACTCGCATAGGATTTAAAGTAAATTTGATTTTTAACATATCCCCACAAAAAAAATCTAAAGGGGTGAGATCTGGTGATCTCGCAGGCCATCTGATTGTGCCGTTTGTACCTATCCATCTTTGTATTAATAATTAAATATCCTTTTTTTATATGTGCTGGTGAAATTACAGACATGTGAGATTTGTCAACCTATTTCTCATGGCGGCGGGCGCAGTGGCAGTGCAGTCGGGGGACTTGTTATCATGAAAAAGTCGCCTTCGCTTGACCGCAACGGCCAATTTGTTGGTTGTATTAAATTAATGAATTTTACTATGTTGCAGAAGAGGTTATGACGCAGTCTCAGGTCATTGATGACGACGTACTACTGTACGACGACACGCCACATCGCACGCATGGAAAATTCACAGGTGTAATTTTAATTACAAATTACAGTATTTTTTTCCCATCGAGTATATACCCAGAAATAGAGACGAAATGTCATTTAATTTGTTTGAAAACTATTCTGCCAAACCATTACTGTCACAACTGTGCGCTCCGATTGGCCAGCCCGAATTCGAAACAATGTGTCGTAGCTTGTATATTTAAATGAAATGAAACTATTTTTCCGAATTTAAATCGCGTATATTTGTTTTTTCAAACAAACCGACGTTTCGGGCCCTTTACAGGTCCCATGGTCACGGTTGACTGTAAAGGACCCGTAAAGGGCCCGAAACGTTGGTTTTTTTTAAAGAACTAATATACGCGATTTAAATCCGGAAAAATAGTTTCATTTCCTATGTGTAACAATCGCGAAAACCTAAGAACTCGATATTTAAATGAAGTTATTCATATATAGTAAAACATGATTAACTGTCGTTCACGACTTTTTTGACGTTACGACGACAGACTGTTGTGACAGTGGGAAGAGCTAGAACGACGTCACGATAAAAATGTGACGACAGATAATTGCAGCTTCAAACGATACGACAAGGCGATTGTTGTGAACCGATAAATTGTCGTCATGATCTAGTGGGACTAGCTAGACACGACAGTCGTTCAAAGAAAAAATAAACGTCCACGACACAGTCATGACCACAGACATATATCTAGATAGACGCCGCAAGTGTATAATAAGTGTATAAGTGTAAGTGAAATTCACTTACTTGCCGCTGCTACACTTCAGAACGCGCTCACCCGTTGTCATAGATAAACTCCAGTCGAAAACGCGTAAAATGCATAATTGTGCCATTATAAACTGCAAAAGCACCATAACCGTGGGTAAACGGGTAAACAGGGACGTTTCCTTCCACGGGCAAGTGATTTTGTAGTCAGGAGATGCATCATTTATTTTAACAACAATTATTTTGGCTTTGTATGAATTTCGAGGAAAGAAATATGCAACCGAGTGTAAGCTCATGTTTTGTAATACATTGCGGCTTTTACTTGGTGCGATATATTTGTGATCCTTTGTTAATACGCAATGAATATCGAAGAACGCACTTTTGTATAATGTATTCAGACTCGTGGTACGGCCGCTTGTACATTTCTTTGGCCAAATTTAACATTTAGTGGTGTATACGTTAGGCAACACTGTTCTCGATTCTGATCGATTTTGAAAACAAAGGGACGAAAATTATTATAACCTTAGCATATTATAAAAATATTCTATAACTCTTTTGTTATAACGTTTAGTAAGTTTCGTTTTTTTTTCAGTTTTGTAGTATCTGTAGTTTCGATAATGTTAGCACGTTGCCTCGACAGTCCGAATATAGTGAGCAAATAATTACATACATCGCCGGATGTAGTACGAGTAATACAAAAAAAATATATAATGCAAAGAATTAACAGTGCGCCGTCTTTACAAAAACCTGGAGTTGGTCATAGGTATGAGTTCGTTGCTTTCGAGGACGAAGGTGGTCTAGTTTATTTCACCATGCTATCCAAATGTGCAGAGTAGCAGAGTTAGAAATCCGAGAAATAATAAACAAATCACAAAAAATTCACACGAGGCCGTCATTAAGTAAACCTCTTCTGATTAATAAGATTTTACCATTTATTTTCAGCAGTAACATTTTCATTTGTCTTGCCATTCATCAATTTAATCAATTACCAACAGAAAACCATCTAGTAAAATTAATTAAGGCAGTCGCAAGTCCATATATTGACGTGCGTATTCACTATTTAAGTCAATCGATAAGATCTTCTATTACAAAAAGATGTTGTATAATAAGCTCATTTTATTGGAAGGACAATAATTTCAATATTTGAAGTCTATTAAAAATTACTCTTAATTTTTTTAAGTAATCAACATTTTTTAAAAACAAGTAAAATAAAGGACTTACTATCTTATTCTAGTATTTTTGTACTATATTATTATTACGACTACTTGTAATCAACAAATATTTGAACAAAAATTATTATATTTAGAATCGATTAATTGGACGGAATACGCGTAAACGTATTCCGTTCAATCAATCGATTTAGAGCGAGCGGAAGGAGGTTTCCATCACCAAATAGCTCTTGTGGCGTCATAGTGGGTACAAAACAAGTGGCACGCTTGGTTTTAATATAAATTGCTATACTTGCGGCATCGATCTAGATATATGTCTGTGGTCATGACAGAAAGTCGTGATATGTGAACAGGCTAGACGCGACAGTCGTCCAACGATAAATAAAACGTTACGACATTATGGAAACGCGCCCATAAACGTTATTTACTTTCGAGAATAAATTCAAATCAGTGCCATCTATACAATGTATTGCGAACTATCGAAATCAAAAAGTATACCATTGAGAAACCTTCGACTTGTTATCTGTTCAACGATAGTTTATTGTTTTCACCAATTTTCATAACTGTCACTGAATTTGAATTGACCATTCCTAAAATGTATTTTAAATATGTTTATCTATCTATACACATATCATAAATTGTCTATAATGTGTTCAAAAACCGCAAATTACGACCAGCTTAAAGGTAAACTGTTTTGTTAGAACAAAACTCTTATCTGTGAAAATATTATAATTGCTTCATAATAACATCGAATTCGATGTTATTATTACATTGTAATTTCGAACATCTCTGAAAAACAAAACAATTTGATTGGACCTCAATTCTAATATCAGTCGAGATGAAGTTTTATTGGAAATGAAATGTCAATAGCAAACAATTTTGACAATTTACACGTTACTTGATAATGAACGATATGATAGTTCGGGCCGGTTCTAGTTTGTCTATGAATTAAAAATAAAAACTACGGTTGTGTGACATGCTTGAGAAAAGTTTTTATTTACCGCCATTTCGCCAGTCGTAACATGCGGTTCCTGAACACATTACAGAGAGCTCATAATATGTGTGTAGATAAAGCAGTGTATGTAACTGTACATAATTAGGCATTAAAACACTCGTGAGATGTTTTTGTGAAAACCCTCACTCGTAACCCTTTCATTACGTAACAGTCACTTAAACTACTATTTATGCGTCTTATTTAGTACCTCATACTTCAATTTTCGTGATTAAATACTTTATTTTTTGTTTTATTTTATCCAAGTGTCGCTATCTACAGTTTTAAATATGTACAGTCAAGAGCACATCAAGCTTGAAACTTTGTACTTTGGACGAACTTATCGTAAGCGGCATAGAGTTGGATTTAAGAGTTAAGTGTCAAGTTTGACGTGCTCTTGACCCTGTACTAAAGTTAAT